CCGTCTGCTTCTGGACCTGGGTCTCCGGTACCAGGTCTGTGGTGCTCCTTGTTGGGGCCAACTTCTGTAGGGGCCAGGACGGGTTTGCAGTGGGATGCGTGAATCCAGGTGGGCAATCCTTCACACTTTACAGCAGTATAGGATGCGTGAATCCAGGTGGGCAATCCTTCGCACTTTACAGCAGTATGGGTGGTCAGAAGGACTTGGTAGGGACCCTTCCACCTGGGTTCCAGGGCAGTCTTTCGCTGGTGAACTTTCACGCAAACCCAGTCTCCTGGTTGTAGTTTATGGCACGGCTCAGTCGGGGCCTCTTGGAAGGCGTCCTTAACCTGTGAATGATAGGACTGTACACACCTCATAAGTTCCTGACAATACTTGACTATGCTTCCTTTAATGAGTATGGCATCAGCCAAGTTAATGTCTGGGCTGCTTAACAGTCTCATAGGTCGGCCACATGCAATCTCATGCCTTACATATCTTAGCAAGTTTGTTCTTTAAAATCCCGTTACGTCTCTCTACTGCTCCTGCGCTCTCCGGGTGTCGCGGGCAGTGCAGTGCTTGTCTGATAGAGTAGTACTTTGTCAGCTTTTGAACAATTTGTCCAGTAAAGTGGGTACCTCTATCACTGGAGATCACCAGGGGTATTCCCCATGATGGGATGTAATGATTTAGAAGTTTCTTAGCTACTGTGATGGCATCCGCTTTCCTGCAGGGATAAGCTTCTACCCATCCCGAAAACAAACAAACAATAACCAGCACATATTCAAAGGATTGACATTTAGGCAATTGAATAAAGTCCATTTGTAAATTCAGAAATGGTCCTAAAGGCGGAGGTCTGGTTGCCGGAACTGTCTTTACAGGTTTACCCACGTTGTGGGCTTGGCAGACAGGGCAAGCCAGACAGTAATTTTTTGCTGCTTGGGAGAATTTGGGAGCAAACCAATTTTACTTTAGGATTGCCACCATCCCCCCTTTGCCAACGTGCGACAATTTATGGAGCACGGAGGCAAGGTGAGGTAGCAAGACTACTGGGGCAACAATGCGGCTGTTAGAGCTGCGCCACAAATGATCTGGGTGCAAGGGGCACTCTGCCAGCTTCTACTTTTGCTTTTCTGATTCTGGGGCTTGGTCCTGCAGGAGGGCCAGTTCTGACAGAGATGGCAAAGGAGCTGACGGTGGTGGGAAAGAAGGGTACAATGCTTCAGCTCGAGGAGGACATAGGGCGGTTGCCTTAGCAGCCCGATCGGCTATGTCATTTTTTAATGCAACTTCATTAGAGGAAGAGGAATGAGCTACACACTTAACAATAGCAAGAGCCGAAGATAAAAGTACTGCATTAAGTAAAGCGGCTACATAAGGCTCATTCTTTATAGAGTGGCCAGAGGAAGTAAGGAAACCTCGCTGCTTCCAGAGCGTACTAAAATTATGAACTACGCCAAAAGCATACCAGGAGTCAGTGTAGATAGTAGCAGACGCTCCTGCAGTAATGTGACAAGCCCTTGTTAGAGCTATTAATTCCGCCACCTGTGCGGAAGAAACAGCAGGTAGAGGAGCAGATTTTATGACATCCCGGACAGTACAAACTGCATAGCCTGCTACTAAAACTCCACTAGAATTATAAAAGCAAGAACTGTCTGTATACAGTATAAAATCAGGGTTATTTAAAGGCATTTTAAACAGGTTTGGTTTTGGAGAGGTGACGGCTTGCACAACTTGCAAACAGTTATGAGGCTTCCCCTCATGGGGTGCAGGGAGCAGTGTAGCGGGATTTAAAGAGTTACAGCAAATTACAGAGACATTGGGAGAAGCAAAGAGAAGCCGTTCATATTTAACAAGACGGGCATTAGAAAGGTGCTGGGTTTTTCCTTTTAAAAGTAATGCTGACACCGAATGAGGAACAGCCAGTGTTAATGGAGATTGTAAAACCAAAGGTTCTGCTTGCTCTAAAATCCGTGCTGCCGCCGCAATTGCACGGAGACACGGTGGAAATGAGGCTGCAACGGGGTCAAGATAGGTGCTGTAATAAGCAAGAGGGCGGTATTTATTACTATGTTTTTGTACTAGTACACCTAAAGCACATCCTTCTTTTTTATGACAGAACAAAGTGAAATGACGGGAGTAATCGGGCAAGCCCAGAGCTGGAGCAGAAGCTAGTGTTTGTTTCAGAGACGAGAAAGCAGTGTCTTGCTGAGATCCCCACGGTATAGGGGAAGGGGTCGCATTACGGGTGAGCTCTTGGAGCGGTTTGGCTAGCTGAGAAAAGTTAGGAATCCATTGTCTGCAGTAGCCAGCCATACCGAGGAAAGAGCGGACTTGGGAGGGGGTAGTGGGTTTAGGGGCAGAAAGGATTGCCTGGATTCTATCAGCAGAGAGGTGACGGCTCCCTGCCGAGAGGTCATGGCCCAAATACCGAACTGTGGGCTTGCAGAGCTGAAGTTTTTGTTTAGACACTTTATGACCCTTATTAGCTAAAGCAGTGAGAAGTACAACAGAATCTAATCTGCAGGCTTCAAGGGAAGCACTACAAAGAAGCAAATCGTCTACATATTGAATAAGAGTAGAGCCAGAAGGGAATGTAATGTTAGAGAGATTCTGCTGTAGAATTTGTGAAAAGTAGGTGGGAGAATCTTTAAACTTTTGTGGCAGAACGGTTTAACAGTATTGCTGTCTTTTATAAGTAAAAGCAGTAAGATATTGGCAATCAGGATGGAGGGGAACACTGAAAAAGGCGGAGGAGAGATCAACGACAGTAAAATGGGTGGAATCAGGTGGGATAGAGGAGAGAATAGTGGTCGGGTTAGGCACAACAGGAAATTGAGTAATTACAATAGCGTTAATAGCTCGAAGGTTCTGGACGAAACGATAGTGTTTCTTCCTGGTTTCTTTATAGGCAGTATAGGAGTATTACACTCACTTGTATAGCGAACAAGAACACCTTGTGCCAAGAGATCAGAAATAACAGGCTGAATTCCTGCCTCAGTTGCAGGATTTAATGGGTATTGGGTAATACGGGGCAGACGCTTAGTTTTGTTAACAGAAATGTAAATGGGATCTACTGGTATCTTGCCCACTTTGTTTGGGGTGGTGGCCTACAAACAGTTGGGGACCTGGGACAAAAGATCAGCATCCGAATCAGGAATTAAGGGAAGTAGTTCGGTGTCAGGACCCTGCAGCAGGTCTTCCACCTCCTGTCAGGTCTGTGCAGGCACTTTAAGATAAACCCCATCAGGAGTATAGAAAATAGTGCAACGTAATTTGCACAATAAATCTCTTTCTAATAGATTCACAGGGGAAGTAGGACTTAGGAGAAAGGAATGATGCTCAGAAATAGGTCCTAGTACAAGAGACACGGGTTTAGAAACAGGGTGAGGCACGACTTGATTAGAAATACCAACTGCATTAACAACCTGGTTAGAAATAGGAATAGAGAAAGAAGACGCTTGGAGAGTGGACCTGCTAGCACCTGTGTCCACTAAAACCTGGGTGTTTTGTCCAGCAACCTGGCAAGTGAGGGTGCCGTCAGAATTCAGGGGAATAAGCGGAGATAAAAGGGTGAAGTTGCAATCCTCCTCTGGGCACCCCTATTGACTTTTAGCTGTTGCTAAAGTAAACTGACCCTGCGGGGGTTTGAAAGCTACAGGCTCTGGCTGCGTGGGGCGGTTTGGGCACTGACTTTTCCAGTGTCCTGGCTGTTTGCAATAGTGACAAGTGTTTGCATTTATCCTGGGGTTGCCACGGCCGGCAGAATTTTTAGACCAGGGTGAGCCCTGTGACTGTTGTTCTATGGGACGCCCCCGACCCCTGCCTACTTTAGTAGGCAGTGATTGCAGAACTATAAGCTTAGGTTCTTTGTCCTGCTTAGCCTTTATACACTGTCTGCAGTGGTTTGCCACTGTCAGAAGCTCCTCTAAGGGTTTAGTTTCCCAGCCAATGGTTATCTGTTTTAACAGGGTCTGGATAGCTGGATCCAGTCCAGTAACAAAAGCGGCACCCAGCGCTTGCTTGGCAGTGTTAGCTGGGTTTTTAATGCTAGAGTGCCTTTCAAACACTTTAGTAAGCCTTTTTAAATAGGCACCTGGTGATTTATTTTCTTCCTGTTTGCAGGTGCTAATTTTAGCCTAATTTGGAAGTTTGGGAAAGACTTGAAGGATACTATCAAGCAGTCCATTTCTAGCTCGGGTGAGAGCCTCTTTATTAGCTGCTAAATCTGGGTCTCCTGAAATAGGTCCAGGTGGCCAGCCTGCCTTCTTTAAAATCTTTTTACGCTTATCATCAGGCAGAATCACCCTCAAAAGCAGATCGAGGTCTTGCCAGTTAGGATCATAAGACCGTATTACTAGTGCCAGTTCTGCTTTAAATTTTACCGGGTCCTCTTCTACTGAGGGAAAATCTTTGGCCATGGCGTGTAATTCGGTTTTGGTCCAGGGTTGGTAAACCCGCATACGCCCTCCTTGTGGGTTTGGGACTTCCCGTAAAGGATAAGCGGCGATGGGGCTATTATTCCCCGACTCAATACGTGCCACTGATCATTGTCCCTTAGGAGTTGCTGGCTGGAGGAGAATAGTGCTTCCCCCAGAAATCTTATATGTAATCGGGAACACCCCTGTTCCTTGTTTTTCCTTCTTAGTTACAGCCTGGCTTCTTGAAGCTACTTGGGGCTCGGGAACTGGAAGTGGGTCTGGGAATGGCGGGGGATTCCACGCGGGGCACAGGACATCATTCATGTTATCCTGTGAATCGGGGTTTGGGAGACAAGGATACAATTGCCCAACAGGTGGTGCACTAGGCTTAGTTATCACTGCTTTTGATTGAGTGCCAGCCTCTTTCAGCAGTTTAATTTGTGTTTGCAGTTTTTCCTGAGTATTTTTAAAGCTTCTTAATTGAGATTTTTTCTGCCTTTTAAAAGTTTTTTCATACCATGGTAGATAGGCAGACCATTGAAGATCAGGAGTTTTTGCTCCACGATCCTCAAGAGCCTCCCTTAAATATAAAATTTTAGTTACATCAAAAGTCCCTTTTAATGGGAATTGCAATTTTGGGTTATTTTGAGTATACAAATTCCACTTATCTAGAAACTTGCAAGTATTTTTTCTATAGTGGGTATACATAAAGAAAGCCGGACTGTCCTTAGAAGGCACTGGAATTCCTGTAGACTGACCTACCCTCATTTTCTGCGTGCGCTTAATTCTGTAAGACACCGAACCAAAGTCCGCCTGCTTACACCATATTCTGCAAGTCACCGAATCAGAATCCGCCTGCTTGCTCTGCAAGTCACCGAAACAGGATTCGCCTGCTTGCTCTGCAAGTCACCGAATCAAGAACCGCCTGCTCGCTCTGTGAGTCACCGAATCAAGAATTCACCTGCTCGCACTGGTCCTCCCCCTTTTTGTTGCGAGGCACTGGACTCAAGGTCCACCTGGCTCGCAGGGGTTTCCGGCACCTGCCCCAGCCCGGCAGAACACCACGTCCTGGCGCCTGGAGACAGCCTGGCGGAATGGGGCACTATGGCCTGGGGTTAGCCTCAGAGGTCAGTACTACGCCCACAAATAACAGAGAGAGACAACAAAGCTTCCCCACAGTTCCGTGTGCCGAGAGAGAGTAATGGCACCACACCAGCTTTTAGCGTCCGAACACAGAGGGTCCAGCGCATGGCTGCCTCACTAGAGACACCGGTGTGCCCTTTTGGAACTGTGACACATAAGACAGGCCTAATAGACAAAGACAGACACAGACAGACAAAAATGTTAGCCGCTCCACAAAATTGAATTCCGTAGCTCCCCTTACCTGTGGTCCTTCAGAAGCCACATGCCTCCCCCACTGACAGAGCTCTGCACTCCCTTGACATTCACCTCACCCTTGTACCCCAAAAATTGAATTCTTTAGCCCTCCTTACCCCGATGGCCGGCCGTCACTCCAAATCCCAAGCCCTCAACTAGGAGATTTCATAACAGGTATCTCCTTACCTTTTATTGAGCGCTCTGAGAGGTTTGGAAGTGGAGTGCCGGTCCGTCCATACGGGTAAGTGGCGCGTTAGGAATCTCGGTGGAACCTCCAAATTGTCGAAGCAAACGCCTCACTCAGTTTACGCGGCTAAACAGACAGTTTTATTGGCCAATAAAAGCAAAGTGAGCCAAACGTGGTCCCAGCAAAGCCGGGCCAAGTAAGGCTGCTTAATACAATCAATCCTAGTATCTTTATACCCTTAACCAAACAGTCTGACGTCAGGGCATCTAATTACAGAAATAATCAATTAGACTAGGAAAAACAAAGCCTTATTAACAAGATGGTGGACAGGTACGAAGGAGTACCTCTCCTCTCTGAACCAGCCCAATTAACACATTCCAATAGCACATCTGTCTTGGCCTGGCGCATGGGGTGATAGAAAGTTCACTCTAGCCTACCTGCAAAAACAAAAAGCTAAAATAGTTTCTGTTATACAAGATGGCTTCTAGCTAAACATAAACTAGCTTCATCAATGGTGATGGGAATTTCATATGTAGCAGTCTCCCTCAGGTACGCAATGGCTGATACATTTTGTAACCTGAGCCTGGGAGGGGCTGCAGCCAGGTGACAACTTTTCCCCTGCCCTGGGAAGCTGGACAAAGGCCTGACTGGGGGCTGGGACCAGGAGCTGGGAGTGGGTCAGATGGCTGGCTGAGGAGGCAGAGGAAAGCCAGGGCCCTGGCTTTGTCTCCCCAGGATGGATGGTGCTGGCTGCTTCTGGTTCCTGAGCTGACAAGTCTGCTCCACACTGTGACCCTGTCACCTGATAAACCTTCTCTTCTACCTGCTGGCTGAGAGTCACGTCTGGCTGTGAATGGGGGTACAGGGCCCAGTAATTCCCTGCACTGCTGTGACAATGGGATGTTTTGTTGATAGCTCTGCTCTGGGAATGAGTCTGGGGCTCAGCAGGGAGTAGAGCAGAGGGTCTGTCCCTGGGCTCCTGGAATGTAAACGCAGAACCTGGAGGAGTCAGGTGGTCGGCCACGGTCCAGGGGGCTGCTCGGCTGTGGATCCCATTCCTGTGACAAACACACGGGGACCAGACTGGGGTGTTCTGACCCTGGGATGTTTCAGAGCGTACCACAGATGGAGGCTTTATTTGTTTCCTCAGACGCAAGGGTGTGAGTTACAAGGTACCAACCCTTGAGGGTAATAAAGCTGCTGCTTTTCCTGCCAAGCACCCAGGGCAAGGTCAGCTGGGGGCCAAGGAACAGCATTTCAGGCTCACTTTTACAACAAGGCCTAGAGAGCCAGAGGGGAACTCACCCTTTGCAAGGGTGCACTTTACAGCCCCGGTTCTTAGAACTACTCGTTTCATTGGCCTTTGCCCTTTATACAATTTCTCGTTAATTCCTGCCGCACTTTTCCGCCTCCCTTTGTGGTACCATTTATGCTGTCATAGTTTGGCAGGCATTGGACAGGCTGTTTATCTACTCTCTATTTTAGAGAGTTTGTCTGGTTCATCAAGAACTCCTCTGAAATGGTACAAAGCTAGGACCATCAAATTCAGTAGGCAGCTTCCTCACAGAAAGCAATGTAAGGGATGGTTGTGCCAGGACAACGGGATGGGCTTCTCATAAAACCCAACAGAAAAGAGACAATCACCAAAGCAAGTACAGGCCTCGCAACTGACATAACTGAGCCAATGTTGGAAGAGACTGAACCTAGATGAGCCAGAAACATAAGATGAACCTGGCACAGGATTGCTTCTCACTAGCCCTTCCAGGAAACGGAGACATTAAGAGCAGTGCCCTGTCTGAGCACTAACGGGCAAGGCCGGGTAAATTTGCAAAGGTTACAATATTAGCTGTGTAAGGAAGTGGCCGAATGCTAAGCATAAGATGGTGTTTAGTTTTATATGCTCTGTCCCAGGAGTTTTCAAAGTGCAGGTTGCAAGCCAGCACTCAGTCGCACTGGGGCACCTTGCTGCAGTGACCAGCAGGGGGCTGTCCTGGCACTGCAGACTCTGGTGCCTGGGAGCAGACAGGGGGGGGCAGAGGGGGCACAGAACTTCACATGGCCCCCTCCCAGAGCACTGTCTCTGCACTTGTTCCCAGCCAATAGGAGCTGGGGGATGTCGGCAAGAGCAGAGCTGCTTGCATATGTAGGAGGTGGGCTTGTTGCTGGCTTCTTCTGGGACCCAGCATAGCCCACGATGCCAGGACAGGCAGGAAGCTGTGAGAGGTAAGCCCAGTCCCCTGTCCCAGCCCTGAGCCCCACCCCAAGCCCCTCACCCCAAGCCCCACCCCTGCACTCTCCTGAAAAGCTGTAATTATGCTGGGTCATGGCATCAACAATTTTCTTCAACTGGGTCACGAGACAAAGGGTTCGAAGCCCACTGCTGTATTCTCCAGCCCCCTTCCTGACCAGCAGGAAGGAGCAGCCTGGTGCCAGTGGTAGAGCCGCATTGGGGAAGCTGTTAGTGTCTGCGCTGACGCTGAGGCAGGAAAATACCAGGCTGGAGATACAGGAGAAGGCAGCGCTGGATCCAGAGTGTCAAGGGAGGAGTGAGACTGGGACATGACAAGACTCAAATGCAGCCAGTGTACCTGATGCCCAAGGAGAGGCAGATGGGAGACCCTGAAGGTGAGGCTATCTAGGAATAAGTGGGGGAGGGGCGGGAAAGGGGCTACCCGCAAGAGGGTACTCAGTGCCCCTGGGTGTGACTGGGTTAATGAGGGGAGGGGGAAGGCTCTGAGCAGGAGCAACAGGTGAGGAAGGATGCAGGGACCTTGGTCATGTGACTGCCCCTCCCGTGTGACTCC